GGCGGATCCAGCCAAAATTTTAGGGGGGGGGGGCTAATTGAGTTTAGGGGGGGCTAATTGAGTTTCTTCCGTCAACACAACGAAAAACAATATAAAAAAGCATCGTTTTTTTCTGCTGAAGGGGGGGATTCAGCCCCCCTTGCCCCCCCCCCCGGATCTACCCTTTATTGTTTCCTGGTCACCAAAGTGAATTCAGGAAAGGTCTTTTGCTTCAAGTAGAGGCTGAGCTTGATAAAATACAGTAAATGTATGAACACATCAAGTCTATCCTCAACTACTTGAAACCATTGTTTCCTGGTCAATGAAGTGAATTCAGGAAAGGTCTATTGCTGCAAGTAGGGGCTGAGCTTGATAAAATACAGTAAATGTATGAACACATCAAGTCTATCCTCAACTTTGAACCATTGTTTCCTGGTCAATGAAGTGAATTCAGGAAAGGTCTATTGCTGCAAGTAGAGGCTGAGCTTACAGTATATAATACAGAATACAGTAAATAAATGAGCACATCAAGTTTTGTTTTGAGTCACTAAAGCAAAGGGCCCAGTGGTATACCCAGGGGGRGAGAGAGAGGAGGGGGGGAGGGGGTTCCGTAGGTTCCATGGAACTCCCCTTTTTTGAGATCTTGTGAAGATAATCATGTTCTGTACGCTCAGTAGAACGAAATAGACCTCCTCGGCTTGGGCGTAATGTTTGCCCATTTCAGACCATGTGTCATTGCCTCGAAAATAAGATTCTTTGTTTGAGTTGTATCAATATTCAAGTGCCTTTTCATGTGCAATCGCTAAACAAAGAAATGATACTCTAGGGAATGACACATTGCACACAAAGAATCTTATTTTCAAGAGAATGTCACGTGGTCTAAAATGGGAAAAMGTTACTCTCGAGCCGAGGAGGTCTATTTCGTTCTACTGAGCGTCTAATAGAGCGTTTTCRCTCACGCGAGAAGGCAGCCATAAACAATAGAAACTTTCTGCACAGTATTTTGCAAAAAAATAGAGTTCAATTCCCGGAGGATAGAAAATGTATTGTTTTGGTACCCCATAAGGGCCGCTGTGACGTTACGTGAAAACGCTCTTTTGGAATCTCCCTTTTGTGAAGCCAATCTTACCACTTTTTCTGCATGGCGGCCATCTTGAAACCCTTCTTTTTAAAATCCTGGATCGATCTGCTACTGACACTTCTTTTTACTACTTTATTCTTTCACAGGCAAACATTACTGGTACAAAATTTCAAGAAAAATGAAATGCGAAGACTTTTTCCCAGTGTTTTTGCTTTACAATCGAGGTAAACTCAATGGATTTGGATGGAACACCATCGGTGATKTGAARAGCAGCAGATATGAACATCCTCCAGCTAGAGTGCTTAAGGTAAGTATTCATTCAAAGGGAGGGAGGGGGAGGCAGTAAGGAGGGAAGGGGAAGGAGGGATGGAGGAGGGAGGGAGGAGAGAG